TACTTCCTCGTAATGTAGTAGATTGATGACTTCGGTGTTTGTACTCATCGCATTAATGCACATACGCCGTATCATGAATTTACCAGTTCACTGAATAGAGCTTTATTACACTGTAAATCGATCAAAAAGGACAAAGTCTGAAATGCAACTAATGTTTTTTTTTATTGTTGAAAAAAACGACATATAAATATTCAAGTCTTTCTCTTTTGAACGAAAATAAACGAAGAAATATTACTTTCACCAATTTTTAATTTGATATTTTTTGTTTTTACATTAGTATATTATAGAATAAATATTTACGGAATAATTCATTTGTATAAGTTGCGCGATAAATACAGACAGAGAAATCGTCGTATCACATTTGCTAAAGATTATATAATTTCAGAAGAGTAACACCTTTATAGCGGCAGTTAAACTTATAATCAAATTTTGCTAAAAGCAGGTCGGCTCTATATTATTGACGATTAACTATGCGCTCGTTACAACTAACTCAAATGAAATGTAGGGGTTGAATCACCAATTATTATGCTGAGTTCTACATTTTCAATTGTGTAAAGGAAGATAATATGTAGGTAATATAATTAATCAACATGGAAAAATTTTGTGAAATAAATGCATAATTTTCTAGCACTATTCATAATTTTTTTTTATTTTAATAACCTAACAACGAGTGTTAACTACAAGATATTTATATGTACATACACATTGTGTATACGTTATAAATGATTTATGCCGTACCTCATAAACACATCAGTACTGAAAGATGTATAAAAAAAATCATCAACTTCATTAAGATATATTGTCATAAAGAATAATTAGTAATTATTTATAAGTATTTGAAAAGCTTTTAAATATAATAAATCAGTATAAATGTCATGTAAATGTCAAGATAAAAAAAATGGTTAAATCATCTTTGATCGCTTTGATATAATTAGATATAATATAATTTTATAAAAGCATTAATTATTAAATGAATAAACATTACGATTGCAGTGAGATGCAAAAATCGCTTTAATTGTGATTAAATAAAAATCAATATTTTTGTTCTTTCATAATAAAATCATATAAAGAAGAAAAAAAGAGCAGAAATCCTTAAGAGAGGATGCAAGATTTTGTCTCCTGTAAGAAGCTATGCCGACTACTAATTTGCATAAATCGCGACGACAACGAGTGGTCGGCGCTTCGCACTTCGCTAACTACTCGCTTAGTATAGCTCACAAAATACCGAGGAAGCTGAGATCTTTATGGCGGTGATAAACCCGACCTCTCGCCAGCTTCGAGTTACAAATGACTACTGGTAGCTGAAAACTATTGCCTCGCGGCTCTATACACGGAGTGCTTGGTTTTACCGCATCTCTCTTTTATATTTACAGATTCTTTTGCAAACTCCTACACAGCGCTCTTCGCTTAGCGAAAGTTGTGCGGAAGATCTATTTTCCAATAATTTTTTCGCATTCCAAATTAAAGGTCTCTATGTAATCGATCTGACGAATACTTGAATCAAAATTCTGGAAACGTAGAATCTATTTTCAAGAGTTCAGTACAAAAATATAACATTTTATTATATAAATATTGATTTAAAAAAACTCGATTTTTAACCTAATAAAGAATTCTTCGTGTTCAATGAAATACAACCGTGTAATTATAGGACTGAACACTTTTATAAGACAAATTATAGTCAATTTTAAATAAACCTGATACACCGTGTATATACGACTCGTATACACTTTTTGATTCTAACCTCGTGTTTTCTATCTTCCTTCATCCTTTCGTTGTTCCTTTCTACATTCGCTGACCCCACTAGTAGCAAGTCCTCGCAGCTGGTTAGACGCGTGAAATAGGACCGCTCGTAAATCCTCGTAACGTCTAACCACCCCTTTCCAACTTTTTCCGAACCCCTCGCATCCCCTCGCATTTCCTCGCTCCTTCTACGTTGCCGCATTGAGTTTATGAGGATTATCAAGGTAGTAATTGTTATTAAATAGTTAACGTTATGATCCGAATAACAGCGCGTAATTTAATTAATAGTAACGCGAGTCAAACGTATGCGAAAAAGCTTTGTGTCCTCGCGTGCACTGATCTAAAAATAGCATATGCGTCTTTATTATTGACAACAGTTGATCTTTCCATATAACCAAGCCGAAATACATATTTTCACGATAAATGAAAATGGAACTAAATATATCCGGGCGTTTGTTCCCGCTGCAAATACGGTTAATAGTCATTTTAGCGTGCGTAAAATCTATGCGACGCGAATTCGGCTTCATCCGTCCCTATATTGGCTGACATATCGACGACCGACCGCGCATAATTAATAACATATATCGCAAGAGGCATGCGGAAGCAGCGACGGCGGAAACACAAATACGCGTTTAATGAACACGAAATGGAATTCAATGTGACTATGAAGTAGTGACATGGTGGATGTTGAGCGCTTTGGCGCGTTTTGCGAGAAATGACGATAGGGATGAGCATCAAGATAACGCATATGTATCGGGGTATTAATAGAGCTTAGCGTAAGCCTAAAAATGATTGTAATAATTGTAATCGTAATTTTCGTTAAAGGCAGTTACATTCCTATTTGTTAACTCCGATCACTTTGATAATTATAATTATCTTGTTACACTGCATTACATGCTTTACTGTTTACAATGTAAAACATTACCCGTTGATGATAACGTACAAATGTATTAGAAGAAATTTATGTATATGTTCTGTATGCCCGTCTATTTGAGAAAAATGTCATTTAACCGTCGAAGTAAGAGGGAAAGAAACCGCTTGAAGAGAAGATGGAGGCAAGCGTGTAAACTAAAACGCCACGGAAATTAATTGCCAAGACCTCTCTATGCTTAACTGAAGCGAGCAGCTGAGCAGCACCACCCACAGGCGGGGTGGGCACCTCTTCGATCGAACGGAAAAATTGACATCCTCGTGGACGATGCATAAAACGCTACAATAACCGGATGCCACGGTCTGTTTAATATCCGGCCGATAAGAAACTTCCACAATACGCAGCGTGAATGAATAATCGTATACAAATGGGAAAGAAATGCTAAGACATACATAATAGTATATCGATTATTTTATTTATTATGAGAAATTTATTAAGAGAATATATATTTCTTTCTTAATAAAAAAAAAAAGTTCTTGTTTAGCGTACGAAGAGTAATGATATAAATCGAGTGATTACATGACCGCTACGGACAAAGGTACATATGTAGTAACAAGTTTCACTATTCTGAACTACAATCTTCCATTAAAAAAAAAAATTTTTTTTTTAAAGAAATGAAAGGGCTATGGAATTTGAAGACAGCGACGTCGTGTTACGTTAGAAAGACGATATTGCATAAAAGTGTCTATTGATTTGAGATATAGTATCGCGAAAGAAAAGAGGACGACGGACAACGACGACATTATGGGAGTTGGGGAATGGAATAGGAGGCGTCGCTCTGTCGAGCGAAAGCCGGTGAAGGCAGAGAGAAGCGGTGTAATAAAGCGAGCCGTGAGAGAAGCACGCATCGAGGAGGCAACGGCCACCGTTACAGTTACGGCCTTCTTCGATTTCAAGGGGTCGGCAAGATCGGGCTGCTTACGCAATACTCGTCGTCTACTCGTCGCTTCGTTATAAGAACGCGGCGAAATCGAGTAATCGCGTTTCCGTGACCGTCTTGCGCGCTCGCCTGCTTACGGAAAGCGGCTCTCCTGGAATAAATTAAACGCGCAATTAAATCCCGGGACGCGCGGGATAGCAGTTGATATCGCATTACGATCGATTATAAGGCCAAAACCTACTTTTTGCTGATGAGCATTCGACTCTCCTGTCTCGTTTCTATTAGGAAAATTATTGAGCGTCAAATCTTCGATAATGCTAGACGTCTATTATTTTCTTTACATTCATAAATATTGAATATCACAAATTTATGTATAGTAAAATGTATCATTACCAAGTGCGTCTAACATCGATTTTGTAGTTAAGTAGCATATTAGAAACCGACTTTATATACACGTATGTAGCTGTGGTATTTAAAATCTTTTTGATATATCATTTTATATATTTGCAAAATAAGAACAATAATTGTAGTTCTAATGCATGAATGAAACAATAGCAAAAAAAAAAACCGCTGTTTGCGTGACGAGAAAATAGGTGTGGTATTCCAGGGTTAACGAACGCGTGTTACATATTTCATTACTTACATTATACATATATCGTCGATTGTATACACATACAACACACAACATATCCGAGACATTAATATATCTTTCTAAGAATCACTATAACTCTCTTTTGTTCTAAATTCTAAAATATTTTATTTTAAAATATTCTTTTATCCTTTATGTATAAATTAAAACATCCTGTAGGGCGGTCATATTCAGTGCATAAGAAAGTAATATTTTGACTGTATACCTTGAATAATGTAACAAAATGCATCATAGAGAGAACATGAAGTCAACCAATCAGGGCTACCGTGGCCACCGGCTGGCCAGACGGTTCGACGGTAATTGGCCAGTAATTGTGTTTACTAATTGATATTACGACCTTACCGGTTGTGTGTAACTCGAGCACACCCCTGACGATATCGGAAAATTTATCGCGACATGTTTGCTGTCGAAGAAAGCGAGTCGATATGGTATCTGTTCATAAACTTTTAAAGTTTAATTATACGGTTTTAAAAAACGTATTCGACAAATAATGAGACTGTAACAGTCCTATTTGTATGTAATTTAAGAAAAAATATTTAACAATTAAATTAATAACATAAAAATTAATAATAAAATTAATAAACTATAAAAATCTTCTTTATAACGTATAATTGGAAATAAGAATCATTTGTGTTTTCTAAATGATTCTAAATAATTTAAGTAATTAAGTGATTTACAAAGTTGCGTCGTGAGGAATTAAAATCGTACATTTTATAATTAATTATAAAATATAAAATTTTAAAAATGAGAGTTTCGTGAAATAAAAGATATTTCTTTTAAAGTGAAAGTGTAAATTAGATTAAAATACATATTTTCAACTTATTTTACTAAAAACATTTTTTTGGTGCAAAGACATTTAATTTGTTCAAGAAAAAAGCTTTACATTATATCGTCGCTTACACATCTATAAAGTGATCCGCGAGCGCGCGATCGAGGTGCAGCGATTTCTATTCCGATCACGTACGCAGCTTCGATCAATAAAACTTTGCCGACTTCCAGAGACCACGCAGACGATTCTACGTTCCTGAGGGAGAATAAGGACCCCTTGAATAGGAATCGAAGCGATCGCGGAAGAGTATGCCAAAATTCATTTTATCGCGCTACTATCGCTTAACGCTCCATTTCATCTACGTGAAATTCGTTGGCATCAAATTTGGATTCCGTTTTACAAGCATTAATATAAAGCAGTATTAAATACCTACTACTCAATTTTATCTTATTTAGAAAAAAACAAAAGTCAATAATCTAACTCATATTGTTGCAAATTAGACGAGTAAACAGACGAGTAAACAGGATCAATTATTGTCAGAAATAATTCAAGAGGTAATAATTCGCTATTGATTATCTCTGCTTGCATAAGCATAAGCTATAACGCTTGATGAGTAGACTGTCGATGAAAAATATTAAAAACAGACGTAAAAAATCAAATAACTTTCAAAGGGCTAGAAATCATTAATAACCTGTCGGTATATGATTGTAATTGAGTTATTAATGAAAGATGCAAACTTTCGATATGGTAAATACGTTAGGCTTTACGGTATAAGCTTCGCGATAGGTAGACGGATTTTTTTCATTGCACTTTTAATACATCTTATAATAAGATGAGAAGTAGAAAGAGCGGGAAATCGTGAGAGGATTGCCGCAACTTCGCCGCAATGTGTTGGATAGGATAGATTTTTAATTTTGCGAATTCCTTAATTATTTCCACAGTTACTTTTAAAGCCAGACGGTCTGGCTAGGTCGGGCCAATACCGTACCGCGACACAATCTCGTGCCTGTAATTGGAAAAGGTTGTGGAGGTTGTCTTCCTTCATTGCGAGACAGTGGTAGGAGGTGTAGTTCAATCCCCGCTAGCAGTTCTCGGTAAATAAAATTCCGCCCACCATATAGCTATCGCCCTATTGTATTTGACTGTATCATTTCATGCATCTTCATTCATGTAGAATTATTTTCGAATTCTTCTCTTTTCGCTTCTGTCTGACAATGAGATTCATTCGCGCGTTAAAATAGATTTCCGAAATAATTTCATTGCTAATATTTAAAATGGTTGTGTACTTAATTACATATATAATATCGACAAATATCTGTGCATAATCACATCAGCACGTATTCTAATATATGTATCTATATTAAAATTAAACTAGATAATAAATTCGATTAATTTATATTGTTACAATTTCACGAGATAAATTCTCCACATTTATTTCACTTTTTTCGACAGTTTTTTAATAGTGCAATCTTGCGTAATTATAAAGAAATATTTGTCTGTACTCACGTATCAGAAGAATCACGACGAAAGGTTGTTAAGTGACACCTGAAACAAAAATTGTAGTGTGAATAAATTAAGATAAATTGAGATGTATTGAGTTGAAATAACGTAAATACACTACATAAAATATATAGAATACCTTTCCAATGAAGACAAAAAAAATTATTTAAAGAAATATGTCGCAAGTTAATGGCGTTTACGGTTATTCAAAATTTTGCAACACAATGCTTTCGACATTAATGATTTAAGTTAATATCAGACGCGAGAGCATGATGCATTTTGGCCGCGAGCCCCGTAATATGTATCTCGTCGTTACGTTGGCGACACGGCATATACGCGCGCGAAAACGATATTTCACACACAGTTTGATGAGCTCCCCGCATTAAGCCGGGGGTAAGTAATTATCGACTGAGCAGTGACCAGGATGGCCGGGCTCGGCCACTCCCTCCTGGGGTGTCCCAGTGCGTGTCACCGCATTAACCACCCCTATACGGACATCGTTCTCATCAAAGTTCAAACGCTGCATATCTCCGATACGTCATTGTAACCTCTGCACGGCTTAATTAACGAGACCGGACGTAGCGTCGTGGACAAGTATTAGTTTACTTCGATATCCGTGTCGCCTCCGAAAATCACGTTACGGATTGAGCTTCATTGAGCGGCACGATAGAGAAAAATCGAATATAATAACAAATAACAATAGATAAATCTGTCGTTTGCGCAATATTTTCTCATGTCAGTAGTCATAATAGTGCACTTACATATACATATAACAAAATGCATACACGCGCATAGATTTTTTGATAAAACATGTTCACCAATTGGTAAATAATTTGTAATAATGATATATTTATTTATTATATGTATATAACTTGTAAAACAAAATAAAGTACAATATTATGAATATAATGAAGAATAGTTAAACATATCAGAATATATGCTGATATGATCATGCCCGCAGATATTTGTTGATATTACAGTAATTAAGTACACAATATTTTAAACAACATTTTCATTAATATACATATATAATCTTAGGACATACTAATATCAATTTAATTAAAAGGGTCTTACTCAACGAATAAACATAACGAAAGCATGACAGGGGAAAAAAGTTAATACATGAAACAGGGATTGTATATACGCACGAGACGCTAACTCGTGCTAATAACCGTATGCAATTAATAAAATTGGGTACACGAAAATCCCGGATAAAGCCACCGTTACACAAATTGCATGAAAATGTTATTTTATCGATAATGTTATCGTAACATCAATAAAACATTATCAACATTAATTTCCCTTGCGTTAAATCGTTGAATTTGATACTGCGTAAATTTTCGATTATGCAATGTCAATGCATATAAATTTTCAGTAAAAAATTTTTTTAATTATTATTATCGAGAAATCAACGTCGCAATTTTCTGAGCTATATGTGTTTCAAACATTTAGAAAAGAAAAAAATCCACACAGGTCCTTAAGTAAAATATATATGTATAAATATCGATAATAATCTATACATAAATTAATGTATTCATTCCTCATGATGCTTATACATCATGTGTGTGCTGTGTATTATCCATACATATATGTATAATATTATTCTAGTTTCTTAATGACGCAAATATTTTTACACACAATTATAACATAAGAATCTATTTCCGGTAATCAGAAATAGATGATGGGTATTTTTTGGACTTCTCGTTTAACGAGGAATGAACTTCTGAATCAAGCGAGAAACGGGATTTGACGCGGATAAGAGACTAAGACCGAGAGAGAAGTCATGTTGGGACTATTTCGCCGATTTGGCCGGTAACATCGTTAAACTTCGAGGGTAGAGCACTCTTTTCTCCCTCGTGACTCGCAATCAGTCGATTCTCGACGGTGCGACGGCAGCGTCCAAAGCTTCCCTTCGAATTACCACCGAGAGAACGATCTGGTCCCGCCGCAGAATCAACCATCTCTCCTTTTTCCTCGCCGGAAAAAGAGAGATAAAAATATTCGGTAAAATTGGGATTGCGAGCTTGCGTGTCTTTGAAGAATCTCGTAATTCATAAGTCGAGTTTTGAATTTGCATTAATTAAATTCAAGTTAGCAATCGTTTTCCATTAGCTCATTTTCAAGGTACATGCGTATACTATAATTGATATGACCGTTATTCATCAACCAATTCAAATAAATTTCTATTGGTATCTCCACAAGCGTTGCAACATCTCTTCAAGTTATGCTTTTGTCCTTGAGTACAAAATCCGTAAAAAATTACAAGTCCATCTCTTGAGATCGTCTTTTTATCAGTTAATAACATCGACGCGACGCTATATCCGAATATCCACTTGCTTTGAGCCGCGACGAGATCCACAATATTAGTTCCTCTCGGTAGACGTAACAAACGCAGGTAGGGGTTATTTTATTCCTCTGTTCCGCGTGCGCGGGTGAAGAAAGAAACTAAAGGCTCGCGGCGAAGCGCGGCGAGGTGGGGGACGGGACGAGGAGAGATCGGCACAGGAGGAGGACATTATGAAAGCATTTTCCTAACCGACTGGCAAAGCCCCGAAGACATTTATCCCGCGAAAAATGAAGTAAAATAAATGTAATGTAAAAGGCAAACCGCGATGTCGGCGTACCAACGAGTACGGTGTCTACGCCTGTGCCAGCGCAGGCAGAGCCTCCGTTTCTCTATCTCCGCTTCTGCGAAGTCTCCGACTTGTTTTCGTGCCCTCCTTGTAGCGCGCGGGGACGAAGGGCGATTTTCCGCGAGCCATGGTACAAGGAGTAACGGAAAATGAAGAAACGGCTGACGACGGGATGAAAGGAAGGGGTGGTAACGGGGGGAGGGGGACGAATCTTCAACGACTCGCCTTGTCTCGTTGAGGATGCTCGTTCCTCCTCCCCCTTTCTCTGTCCCTATCTGTGCCTGCAGAGATTTTTCCTTCTTCGGCACTCGTCCTTCTTTTTATGCCTCTTTCAATATGCTCTTCTAACCCTCCACCGACCGCTTGCACCGGTCACGGAGCTCCACTTTTCAACTTGACATTTTTAATTCTTTTTTTACTTCTTCTGCACGTAATCGTCTTATGAAAGAGCAACCGAAGCAACCATTCGAGAAAGAACGTGCGACGATATGCCGCGGACTGTCGGCTCCCTTACGATCCTGTCTACTTTTCACCAGTCACGGGCTAGCGATCGTCTCCTCGGGACGATTCTCCGCTTTGCACTCGCAGATTTGTCTCATGGCCCACCCGAGATCTTCTTAGTTCTCTACAGCGAAAAAGAAACTTCAGGAAACATATGCCGCACGAGATCTAAAGTAATGAATTTCACGAGTGAGCTCATGTAGAACGCAGCGCGATAAAAATATGTTGTTAGAGAGACAATTATAATATAATGCGAGTATTTATAGACCTCATTTTAATGTACGGTATCTACGAAAAGTAATTTAATTTAATTATGCATATCGCTAACAATTCGTAACGCTTAAAATCCAATTATTAAATATTTATTATAGAAGTCGTTCTTGCAAAATAATTAATTTTTAATTAATTGATAATAAAATCTTTTTATAAAAGATATCGCGAATTATGAAAAAGATGTTCGTGCTTGTTCGTACAGTCGATTAGGTCCTGCCTCTGTTATCGACATTCGTATATAACGTTCGATACTGAATTAACAAAAATACGATTATCCTATTAAATCAAGTATCCCGAGGAACACGAGGGCAAACTATTGACGATAAGATGCCGCGCTCTCTCGAAACGCCAGGCGTAGTTGCAGCCAAACGAATCGGATCGGTTCGTAGGAACGACGATGTGGATTGGGACGACTGGTGACTACTGAAAGGAACCGTGGAAGGAAGGCAGGAAGATATTTACCAGCGTCTCCTCTTACAACCTCGGCAAACTTCAATTCCCCTTTTCCGCATCCTGGCTCCCTCGTATTTACAATCGGTTACCCGATGCCTAATCCGATGAGAGAGGAGAAGGGGACAGACTGTCGTGTCGTAATTTAAGGTGAACGCACGAGAGGCACGAGGGGGTTCAACTCACGCTCGTCAAAGAGTGTCACGGAGCGAAGTAGAAATTGCGAGGTTTCGTCAGCCGCCGCGCCGCGCCCTACTGAATTTCGGTTACTTGTCACTTGTTAGTCATCGAAAACCATTCGATTAGATATCAAAGTAAAACGTTTGGAGTAAATAAATTTTCAGACATGATATGATATTTCTACTCCAAGTATAAACACGATTCATAAAAATTGCACGTCCATGCATATCTATATGTATACAATATAATGTTATATGGTGATATAGAAATATCGTTCCACTAAGAGATGTAACTTTTGCGAAACTCAAAGAAAAGACACATAGAAAAGTAATCTGGGAATATAGCTTGAACAAGCGGGGCGTGTTAAAGTCAGAAAATTGGAAATAATCCGCCACCGATGAGGATTCATGAATTTCCGAGAATAATTAGCGATACATGGCACGCCCCATCTGCATTTTGCTATACGTGCCGCCAGAATGCCAGATCCATGATTTATTTTCGCACAAATGCGCACAATTAACGCAATTCCGGTATCAATCCAATATTTTGGCCGACACAAACCTGATACACGTGCGAGCAAGTATATTTTTGTTTATTTCCCTCTTCATGCCGCATCCTCGCTGAACGATATTTGCAACGGTCTGTTACGCGTATGCGCATACGTTGCACGCTGGAATGCACTCGATAATTGCTACTATTTAAAATTGCATCTCCCACCGCCTTTTTTTTACAAATTTCGTGATAAATATCCGAACGGTGGCATTGCTTTATGCGGATTGGAATGTGTACTGCCAACCGATGATTTTTTTATGCAAAAATATGCAACGGATCATGGAGAAAAATATGATTCGAGTGATTGCGCACACCAACAGTATCTACACATGCAGAATAGAATTAAGTGACGCGGCACTGGCACTGTATGCAGGAATAATAAGAACCCAAATTACGCCTTATAGTTATAGAGGATTTTCTATCTTGATTTCCTCATTTGCTCAAGTCAATTTCTCG